TCTCGAAATCTGTATTTTTGGTCTGTTTCGAATACGGAGTGGTACAAAAATGCTCTTTGGGCTGCTGCAAATGCTACAACTGTGGAGTTTTTTAAAATTTGCATGGAGAAGATGCATGAATTAGATGCCGAAACCGCTGCATGGTTGAATGAGAAACCAACCGAATGGTCTAAATCACATTTTTCTACAGGTGCTAAATGTGATGTTTTGTTAAATAATATGTGTGAATGTTTTAATTGTATGATTCTTGATGCTCGAGACAAGCCAATCATAACTTTGTTGGAGAAATTAAAATATCTTCTTATGGCTAGATTCCAAGCTATTAGGGAGAAAGCATAAAGATGGAATTCAGGTGACATTTGTCCTCGGATCAAGAGCATCTTGCACAATAATGAATCTGCCGCTGCTACGTTTATTCCAAAAAAATCAAATCAATGGAATTATGAGATTCTTGGAGCATCGGTTGCTGACAATTGGGCTGTGGACCTACAAAATAGAAAGTGTAGTTGCAGAAAATGGACTATAACAGGAATTCCTTGCAAACATGCAATATCGGCCATTTGGGCTAAATATGATGTGGTTCTTGATTATGTTGATGATTGCTACAAAGTTGATACATATAAAAGAATTTATGAAAAGACCATCTTTCCGATCAATGGATCACAATTGTGGCCTAAATCAAATAAGGTCCCTCCTTTGCCTCCGAGATTTGTAAGACAAAACAAGAGGGGAAGAGGCCAGAAATTGAGGAGATGAGAGCAAGATGAGACAGGATCAAGTAGAACAAGAATGAAAAAAAAAACAAATATCTGTTAATTGTAGCTTATGTCACAAGCCTGGCCATAATATAAGGACATGTAAATTTAAAAATTATGTGCAGTCTGAAGTAGGTGCATATGACTCGGCTTTTTGGATGCCTCCTACTTCATCAATTCCTGAAAAGTTATCGGTAATTTTTTTTGGCATAAAATTTGATTTGGCTCTCAATTATATTGTTTTATAAATACAAAATTGATGCATTGTACATTTGCAGGTTAGAAGAGCAAATTCTGGACCAAGTCAAGATTGTTTTGATACTTAATGTGGTGTTGCTATCAATTTTGGTTGGCTAAACATGGTGCCACAACATTTTTTTGTGTTAAGGACATAAGTACTGTTTGTTTTGTGAATGATATGTAGTTTGTTGTTGCTGCTATTTTATGAACATGGTGCAATTGCTTCTCCTTTTGTTTTTTGCGAAAAGAATAGATGGTGCTGCTACAACAATGGTTCTTATGATGATAATATTATGTTGCTTTTCAAGTCATTTGCAGCTAATCTGGATGGACTTAAGATAAGTGCTTAACATATACTTTTTATTTTATCCAAACACTATAAAAGTGCTTAAAAGCTATTTTGTCTTAATGCACTTAAGAGTTGTGCTTGATATTCCACGGATATGATGTATAGAGGAGTTGTCACTAGTAAATAAAGGTGATATGGAGGAGTTTAATAACCATGAGATTGCACAAGAGACACCTCCTTTCTATAATTGTGATGTTGTTGCTGCTATACAAAGCATACATCCTACTAACAATGTGTCTCATTATTGATGGCTCTTCCTTACTTTAGAACACCTGGCGGGGCTCTGTTTTGTTCCTCCGTGGCTCTCATTAGGAAGAGTTGGTTTTGCAGTTAGCATTTTCAGTTCTTTTGTATTTCTAGTACTATCAATAGGGGAGAGAATTTTCGACTAAGGTTTTGTGCAGGTGTATCCTTGATTTACCTTTCTTATTCTTGAAAGAAGCAATTCAATGAGGAAATATACATAGTCTAGGATTTGCAGTTCAAATTCGAAGGTTATCGTCAATAGTAAGTAGCTACTAAGGTCATTCTTACATTTTTAACCTGAGTTCTCATATGGTTCTATCTGCATACATTTGTAGCTTAATCGAATGATTCTTAGTATTTTCGAGATGTTGTTCTTGGCTAAGCTGTTATTAATAAATGTAATGTTCATCCTGTTTCAATGCATATTTCAGAAAGTAGTTCATGTAGGGAAAATGAAATGCTCAGCTACTTCCAAAAAAAAAGATTTATCATATGGAACGTAATGCATTAGCAGTTTTCCACAATACAAGTACAAAAAAAAAATCATATCATAGTTTCTTCGAGTCAATCATTTTTTCGCTTCATTGATTGTCATCAGCTTCATATGTTTCCATACTTACTTTGAGTGCGGCAATTCTACTCAATAACTTTGAAATGTCAAATTTGATTCCCATCGCCTTATCGGAATGCATCTGGTGCATGATTCCAGTTTCTCCAATTTGCCAATTTATAGTTTTTCTTGTTCTACTCCTGTGTGTTTGATAAACAACAATTTTGATGAGTGTGTCAGTATCTGTCTTCTTCACCTTCGTCGAAACCTACCAGACACTAACAATGGAAAAACTTATGTCAATTGATTTACAAGAAAATGATTTTTGTTGGAAAGGAGGGAGTTTTCATGGTTCAAATATATGCAAGATTACTGTTATCTGTTTGTTCATCCCTAGGTATTTGTAGTTGACAAACGTAAACAAATGCATCTCTTACTGATCCCTTAGCAATTTTTCCTCCTTCAATTTTCTGGTGAGGGCAGAACTTTTGGGTTCAAGAAAAGTAATTGCACCCAAGACACTAACCCCCACCCCTCCTCTTTTGTTTTTGCTGTCACTATGAATGAGAAAAATTCCCCTGTTTGAATTCAACAGTCATTGAAACCGACACGAATGCTTCATGTAAACTTTAGTATAAATTTTGAAGCATCCATAAAATTAGAATATCCTTCAATAAGTTCTTGCTAGTTACCACGTCCGTTTAGTTGGAAAGGCGGGAGTTTTCATGGTTTGGACTGATCTAAGAAAACAGAGGTTTTGTTAAAGTTTTTTGTATGTCATGTGCTCTGCACTATTCTGTTTAATTTGACATAATTTTTTTGGGTCTGTTAGGGTTTTAAGGTAAAAGACTAAATTGATAAGTTTTTAACATAGATAAAGGACCTTTTCTATAAGGTGCAAATATGAGGGACCAAATCAATCTAAGTCCATACATTAAGGACTATTTTGATCATTTTCTCAGAGCAAAGGGATGACCACTGGCAATATCATAAATATGCTCATCTTCAAGGGTAATATATATTTTTTATACTTACTGAGTTTTTGCCATCCACATACTTGGTCTTTCTTTTCGCTTCTAGAGCTTTCTCTCTTTTCCCTCACATCTATATTAAGGGAGAATGAGATGACTCAAGCAAAGAAGTAGGCAAGGTGATCTTCCCCTTCATTATGCTCGAGTTCTGTAATTGCTGGCTATCTTCTTCTCCAATTCTTGGTGTTTACTATCAAGATGAGCTTGGAATCCTATGCCCTAGCTAGATTAGGATAATTGTTTTTGAAAATTATAAGGGATGTGGCTGAGGTGTTTGACAAAAATTCAAAGAGAAAAGACAGATTCTTTCATCAGCAATCTTCGTGTTTGGTAAGCTAAAAATCATCTTTTATTATATTTTATTTATTTATTCCAATTTTTATCATTTCCATTCCTTTTGTATGAACTGAACTTCAATCTCTAATTGTATCTATCTTCTTCTATTTCAATACTTTGTTTAGTAGTTGTTATCCTTTTTGGGTGTATGTATGTGTTCGTTAATAGAAGTTAGTACTAATTCCTTTCATTTGTCCCCAAAACCGACTAACATAGTGCTTTTTGAAGGTTAAAAAAAACTATATGTAATTTCTTTTTATCTGCTTAAGGTTGGTAGGTATAATTATTAGATACTTGTGTTGATGCATTGTCGAGGTTAGTGCAAGCTGACTCGGACACTGACGATTGGAGAACATTCTAGAAAGTTCTATCATATCTTCCAACTCCGATCCGCAGGCATTCAGATTTCTCCAAAGAATAATATTACGTGAGGCATTGCTTCTGTTCTAGGCTACAATCCTATCCCTACCTATTAAAGAATGGGAGAATGATCAGACCAATAAAGTGTCTAGCAACTGGATGTAGGATAAGACAACACTCTGGATCCTCCATACTTGCAAAATGAATGAATTAGATATGGACTTAATTTTCTGTTTTCGGGCAAGGGGTGAAAGCCATAAGAGAAGGTTACCCTATCAGTAAGGAAGAGGGGGGGAAAGTGTTTCCATCTATCTCAATCAATTTGTCGAGGTGTTTGAAATCCAGCCTGGCTCAAAGAATTTATCTTACTATTCAACCCATCGTTTTGTCAACAAATATCATCTTTGATAATTTTCCATTCCTTCCCTACCGAACCGCCTCTCTTTGCCATTCGATTCTTCTGCCTTTTGAACAAGTTATTGCTCCTGGCTTGCATTTTCTTTTGTAGCAACTTCATCGGCCTACCACACTAGGCGTGCAATCACTTGTTCGAACATAGTAGGTTGCTATACACTTAAGTGGTCTGATCATTCTTGTCATCTTCTTATTTTATTGTAGCAAGATTTAATAGAGTATGCATATGTGGTTTTTGTTAAATTAGGTCTTGAACCTAACTCACACCCCAAAAGCTAGCTCAAAGGGAGGAGGATTGCCCAAGCCTTATAAGGAGTCCACCCATCTCATTAACCACCGATGTGGCCTCTCTTTGCCATTCGATTCTTCTGCCTTTTGAACAAGTTATTGCTCCTGGCTTGCATTTTCTTTTGTAGCAACTTCATCGGCCTACCACACTAGGCGTGCAATCACTTGTTCGAACATAGTAGGTTGCTATACACTTAAGTGGTCTGATCATTCTTGTCATCTTCTTATTTTATTGTAGCAAGATTTAATAGAGTATGCATATGTGGTTTTTGTTAAATTAGGTCTTGAACCTAACTCACACCCCAAAAGCTAGCTCAAAGGGAGGAGGATTGCCCAAGCCTTATAAGGAGTCAACTCATCTCATTAACCACCGATGTGGGACTTTGTCATTCTTTAACATCTATTGAAGGATATTTGATGTTCACCAATAGTTTAAAAAAATGTCTTAGCTAGAAAAGTTATATTTTGTTTACATTTTTAAGTAAAATTTGAATTGGAAAAGCAGGGAATTGTTTGATTCCATTAGTGATTGACATTATTCATCGGCATTTGTTAGGATATGCCTAAAGTGGCATATACTGATTTGGGAGATCAAATTTCGGAGTAACTCGAAACAGGAAAAGCAAGAAATTGTTCGATTCCATTAGTGTTTGACAATATTCATCGACATTCGCTCGGAAATACCTAATGTGGCATCACTGGTTTGGGAGATCAAATTTCAAAATTACTCGAACCAGGAAAATCAAGAATTTGTTTGATATCCTATAAGTGCTCGACAATATTCATCGGCATTCATTCGGACAAGCATATTATGGCATAATGGTTGCATATCTGTGAATTATTTTAAGATTTTTGGTCGTTATATCTATATTCGATGAAGAACAATATGATAGAATTTTTGTTCTAAACAATGACTTCATTTTAGCTTATTATGTGCATATATGTATTTTCTCATATTACTTCTGCTATTGGTGTCCGTGTATAGCTATGTAGTTTCATTTATTATAGCTACTTGTGGGTCTAAAGTTCTTGATTTAGATTTTCTAAAATGATTTTTGCGTTGTTGATGCAGATATTCTTCTTGAAAAATGAAAATCAATTCAGAAGTAAAAGAAAACTCCTTAATTTTGGTTAAGCAACGCACCGAGACTGTAAGTTACTTGCTTTGTTCTATATTTGTTTTTATAAGAGACTATTCCTCATTTAACTCTCGAAACAATAGTTACTTTGGTTTGTGAATTTTGAATAGTATCAATAGTAGAATATAGCAGCCCAACGGTGTTGATTTTAGCTGTTCATTTTGTCAATATCATGTGCATCCTTACTGCTATTCAAATTTCCTTTCCAGAGATTACTTGAGTCACCTTTCATGAGAAAGAGCTGTATTGTTAAGGAAGGATTCTAAAAAAATACAAGCATCAAATTTTGTACACAATGAACACTCGCAAACACTTAAACACGATCAGTTGAGATAGTGAATTATTTTTTACCAGCATGCTTGCCTGACTTCTAATCCATTTCTTTATACTTTTTATGATGTGTCGCACATGTTGACATTTGAATATGCTGAAGGTTCTTTTATCAAAAATGTGTTTCTCGATGAAAGGCTTAATTTGTGTCTTTGTGGGTTTATTGGGCAGTATTTACTGATCAAAAAACTATATTACAGTTCCTTTTCCTTTTCTATTTTTCCATTTTCTCTCTTGGAATAAGTAAGGGGTATTCATATAGTGTGCATAAAGTAGTTTGGAATTGATCATAGTTCATTACTTATTTTTTTAATTTATATCTTGCTTAAATTATAATCAATCAAACAATGTTAATGACCATAAGTGTTTTCCACCCATAATTAGCGTCTCATGTAATTGGATATAATCTTCATACTATCTGCATTTTTTAGATGGATATGGTACTTGTTGCATATAGAAAATCCTCCAAACAATCAAAAGATGATAAAAAGACTCTGAACACAATTCATTTGTATGGTTAAGACTGTCTCATCAGTAGAATGGAATGGACTATTCCTAAATCAACCTTAATTTTTTCTTTAACCTTACTTTGAAAACTAAATATTTTTCATGTTTCATGCCCATGGGTATTATTTTTCTTTGTTGTTACTTTTAGCTGTTGGATTGAAAATTTGAAATCATGTCCACCCTGAAAAAAACACTATGTCTAGAAACTCTAGATCATTCAGTTTTCTGTAGCACGTATGCACACTGTATTGCTTAGTTGCTTTCTTTAATAACCTATTGAATAAATATAATGATGAACTATATTCCATTGGTGTATACTCATCCAGGAAATATGGTTTTGGCCTTGGTCGCATATGGTATTCATCTACTCTGAAAATGGTCGAAGAGTGATTCTAATTTGACTGGCCAGGTAAAGGAGTTTAAGAAAAAGGCTTAAATATCTCTTGTGGGACACTTCTATTGGCTATAAGAAAATGGCCTATAAGTTTACGTTTGGCGGCTGACCAACATGTTTATGTTGTAACTATGTCAATCACAGAGTGGGATGTTGTTGACCAACAATCTGCCTAGCAGTGTTGTAGGAGCATTTTCACCTTGCGTAGCTTTAAAAGAGTGGGATGTTGTTGACCAACTTGTTGTTTAATTTGTTCTTCCTATGTTTTATTGTCGAAGTTGAAGTATATGAAGAATGACTTTTCTCTTGAGGTTAATATATTTGCCCCCATGAAATTATAGGTGCTTAGATGGTTCTTACTTCTCACCAAGGCTAATGATTACATCTCTTATGCGTTACTGCCTGGTGAGATGACTATTTGGAGTAGAAACATGCTCGACAACGGCTAAAAGTTTTACATTATGATTTATATGCTTCTGTAGCAGGAGTAGAGGATTGGAGGAAGAGTCTAAGGCAAGATGCATGCTCATGCAAGTAGTTATGAAGAAATATATTCTATTTGAACCTCTGAGGCTCTTGAGTCAAAATGATGATTTGGTTGCAATTGAAAAGAGCAGCGAAACTTTTGTAAAACCAATTCCCTAATGCATGTTTTGGAAAATATCCAGAAAAGCAACTATTCCTCAGGAGTATGAAAAATTGTCCTTATCTTTGTATAATTCAGATGCCTTTATGGTCTGCATTTTTTAATGTAATGGCCAGTCTTTAAATAAATTAGATCAATCAATGTTGATATTTCTCGACTCCCTGCACCAATAAGCACAATTTTTTTGTTTATCTTTTCATTTGTCCTAATGTTGGTGGATAAAATTATTTTGCAGTTGTCAATGAGAGGCGATAGATATCCTATGAAATTAGTGTGTACCTAACAATTATCCCAAAAAAATTATATATATTTGTTGCTTCTTTCGATGCACTTTCTTGGTAGTGTGTAAGAAATAAAATCTTATTTTTGTCAGATATATTAATTTCATCAAACATTCTTCTGACACTGAGTTTGAAGTAATTATCTCATAAAAACCATACATTCTTATATTCCTTCCAGTAAATTTATACCCGCGTATTGCCCCAAATAATTTTTCATCTACACCTATACTGTTAGGTGAAATTAACATATGTGACATTAAACAGAGGAATCGACATGCATAATTTTAGTATATTGATCGAACAACATTTAGTCAAATACAAGAATTATAATACAGACTATTGCTTTAATACGTTTACCATTTATCGACATTAAAATTATCTTCTGATACCATGGATGACAACTTTTACATTATAAACTTACTGCATCTCCAACAAAATAGAAATGATAAAATTATCTTGTAGTTGAGGACGTGGAATAGTTATACTTTTAATTCAAAAAAATGAAAAGGAAATTACAGCCAAAGAAAGTATATAGTAATCTTATGTGTTGGGTCTGTGCTGAGCACGTGCTATCCCTATCTAATATATCTCCTTATTTAGAAGTGAGAGTTGGAAAGGACCAACATTGCATTAAAGTACTTGTATCTCCTTATTTAGAAGTGAGAGTTGGAAAGGACCAACATTGCATTAAAGTACTTGTATCTCCTTATTTAGAAGTGAGAGTTGGAAAGGACCAACATTGCATTAAAGTACTTGTATCTCCTTATTTAGAAGTGAGAGTTGGAAAGGACCAACATTGCATTAAAGTACTTGTATCTCCTTATTTAGAAGTGAGAGTTGGAAAGGACCAACATTGCATTAAAGTACTTGTATCTCCTTATTTAGAAGTGAGAGTTGGAAAGGACCAACATTGCATTAAAGTACTTGTATCTCCTTATTTAGAAGTGAGAGTTGGAAAGGACCAACATTGCATTAAAGTACTTGTATCTCCTTATTTAGAAGTGAGAGTTGGAAAGGACCAACATTGCATTAAAGTACTTGTATCTCCTTATTTAGAAGTGAGAGTTGGAAAGGACCAACATTGCATTAAAGTACTTGTATCTCCTTATTTAGAAGTGAGAGTTGGAAAGGACCAACATTGCATTAAAGTACTTGTATCTCCTTATTTAGAAGTGAGAGTTGGAAAGGACCAACATTGCATTAAAGTACTTGTACAATGTTGGTCCTTCCATTGCATTAAAGTACTTGTACATATATAAGTGGGCCCCACCTCCTTCCACTTAAATAATATTCTTCAACCTTATCATGGTAAAAGTTGAATTTATTATCCTTTTCATTTAATTTTATATGATATTATTTTTTCCTATAAAATCATTATATATGTTTTAATAATTTAAATTTCAAAAACATTATACTTTAACTTTAAAGATTTTATTTTATCAAAATCTTGTACATTGAAATATATAGTTATGAATTTAAAATATTTTTAAAATCATATAAAAATTTCAATAACTTCTCAAATTCCATAATATAACACTTAAATACTACATATTATATATTAATTACTATACTATAAATGACTTAAATACTCCATATTATCTACTCTTATTTAGAAATGAGAGTTGGAAAGGACCAACATTGCATTAAAGTACTTGTACAATGTTGGTCCTTCCATTGCATTAAAGTACTTGTACATATATAAGTGGGCCCCACCTCCTTCCACTTAAATAATATTCTTCAACCTTATCATGGTAAAAGTTGAATTTATTATCCTTTTCATTTAATTTTATATGATATTATTTTTTCCTATAAAATCATTATATATGTTTTAATAATTTAAATTTCAAAAACATTATAATTTAACTTTAAAGATTTTATTTTATCAAAATCTTGTACATTGAAATATATAGTTATGAATTTAAAATATTTTTAAAATCATATAAAAATTTCAATAACTTCTCAAATTCCATAATATAACACTTAAATACTACATATTATATATTAATTACTATACTATAAATGACTTAAATACTCCATATTATCTATTACAATAATTAACAATTATTTGACACTTTAAATTCTATCAATGCCATATAAATTAGGATAAAAAACCTAACATATAATATTTAAATATATTTACAAATAATATAAGTAATACTATACATTATAATAATTAACAGCTTAATTATTTAAATATTTTTTTAATAATATATGTTATTTGCCATGTCCCAATTTATGTGGCATTAATTGATAGATTTGTTGGAGTCGAGAGATTTATTTTGTTAATTATTGTAATTTATAGTTTCTTTTTCATCAATTTCAAACAATATATGTTGTTAATTGATAGATTTTTTGGAGTAGGCCTTTTTTTTATTATTAATTATTGTAATTTATTGTTTCTTTTTCGTCAATTTCAAACAATATATGTTTATCATATAATCCATTTTATGTGGTACCAAGAGAATTTAGAGTTAATTAAATTTTTTATATAAGTTTTAAATAATTAAGCTGTTAATTATTATAATGTATAGTATTACTTATATTATTTGTAAATATATTTAAATATTATATGTTAGGTTTTTTATCCTAATTTATATGGCATTGATAGAATTTAAAGTGTCAAATAATTGTTAATTATTGTAATAGATAATATGGAGTATTTAAGTCATTTATAGTATAGTAATTAATATATAATATGTAGTATTTAAGTGTTATATTATGGAATTTGAGAAGTTATTGAAATTTTTATATGATTTTAAAAATATTTTAAATTGTTAGCTATTGTGATTTGTAGTACTTTTTTTTAACATAATTTTGAAAAAAATATTTATTACTCTGTTTGTTCTAATTTATGTGGCACACGCAGAATTTCAAATATTAACC